AATTATACGTGAGTTGAAAAATCAGTATAGAACTTCATGTATGCTCGCTTATTCCTTGCTAAATAGTCACCACCATTATTTTCCTTCTAGTGTAGTAATTGTATGCTTTACCCGATAATGTTCCACAAATTCATCATCCTACTCCACTAATGGACAATGACTCACTCTTACCTTAAACAGGTGGTGTACCATAGCGATACACTACAGGTGTACTATGTAACAATACTCCCACGGGAGCACATAACACTTTGGTATAATTTTGGTGTAAAAAATTATTATGATTATTTGAAAATCTAAAAATCTATTTTCGTTTTTAATTATAAAATTCTATAACTTCTAAAATAATTAAAATCAAACAAATCTACAAATATATGAAAATCTACCAAATGGATGGTTTAAATAATGTGTTGTAAGGTGCATAGTTTCTACAACTCAAAATCGTTTTTATTTATTTTTTTTACATTTATATATTGTGATGTCGAGATGATGAGGGTTTTTCAACATTAAAGGGAAAAGTTTATATAAGGATGCAATGTAGAACTACAGATGTACTTAAAAAATCTATCGAAAAAGGTAGTTTTAATATTGAAAAACTATTGATTGATCATCTCGAGATCGAGATGTTCGACTATGAAAAATAAAAATATTATGAGTCTAAAAAATAGTGCATCTTATAACATATTATTTACACCGTCCAATTTCAAAAATTCCATATGTTTATAGGTCTATTTGATTTTAACTATTTTTGAAATTTAAAATTTTATAATTAAATGTAAATATAGATTTTGAGATAATTCTAAGACTATTTTACTTCAAAATTATATATTCTGATAAAATTTCAAGGTGCACCTTAGTTGGAGTGTTTAAAATTGCAACCTTACATAAACCACACCCTTAAAATAACATTTTTCCATAATTTTTTGAGGTGTATCTTTAATTGTAATTAGGTGTAGTTGGCATACGGATGCATCCCTAGCTGGAGAGGTTGGATGCATCTTCAAATTTTATTATGGTATATAATTTTGATGGAAAATATTTTTAAGATTATCTCAAAATTTATTTTTATGTTTAATTATAAAATTTATAATTTAAAAAATAATTAAAATCAAATAGATTTATAAACATATAAAAATCTTGAAAATAAATAATATGTTGTAAACTACACCATTTATGAGACTTAAAATCTTTGTATTTTTCAAAGCCATACATTTTGAAATCTAGATGATCGTTTTTCTTTTCAACATTAAAACTTCATTTTTTCGTTGATTTTTAAGGTACATCCGTAGTTCTACATTTTATCCTTATATAAACTTTTTCTTTTAAAATTAGAAGTTAATATAAATTTATTTCTTTAACATTTTCTAAAATAAAAAAATTTACTTCCAACGAGGGGTATTTCGGTCATTTTTTATGGCACAAGGAGAGTAGGGTGCGCCGTGGGTTGAGTCGAGAGCCGACACGCAGACAGCGAGCTGAAATCACGGAGCGGCGTAGTGTCAGAGGGCGGGGCTCAGTGTACGGAAGGGCGGCGGCGTGGGCCCACTCTACTCACTCAATTATTTCATCCCTTCACCAATTATTTATTCATTTTTTTAGGGCCTGAATTACTAATTCCCTAATTAAATTACTTACTTTTTTCTCAAAGGGCAGGGGGAAAGAATATGCCCCCCTTTTGGGGAAGACGAACGCCTTTGCCCTTTGCTAAACCAAAAAAGGAGCCCCACTCTCTCTTTTGCCCTTCGGAAGAGCTTTTAATTACTAATGTAACCCTTCCTTTTCACAGAAACCCACAATGAAATTCTTTCCCCCTTGATTTCAACAAAATCAAGGGGGCTCGATGCCTATTGTTGGATCTGTTTCATTTAAAGTTTCTTTCATTTATTTTAGTTTTTTAAAGAATCGACACCCGCTCTCTCTTCCTATATTTTTGGTCCTCTTTCCCTCCCTCATTATACATGAATGTCTTTCATATTTTCAACAATATGAAGATCTTACATGTCCAAATCTTCATTAAATAAGCCTGGCGTCTCTTTCTTTAGTCATATCTAAGGAATTTTTTCACAAACAAAACGGCAACCTCGCCCCCCTCCTACCTTTTTATGCTTATGTGACTTTAATGCCTCTCTATGTACTATTTATCTGTGTGGAAAAACTCCGGCGAGCCAAACTTAGACTCGTTTGAGTAATTCGGACTCGCCATCCCAGTCTCACAAGCCAACTTATACTCGTCCGAGTGATTGGACTCGCCACTCTAGATTGGCAAGCCAACTCATACTCGTCTGAGTAATTCGGATTCACCACCCTAGTAAATTTGAATATTTCCTAGTTGGGTTGTTCGACTCAGGGATTTTAAATTTTTTTAAAAAATTACTAAAATCTATTAAATAAGAAATATATTTTTAATATGATTTTTAGATTTTCGATCATTTGGTAAATATACAAAGTGTTTTGGCCATGAATACTTATTTTTACATTTTTTTCCTTATTTTTGGATTATTTCAATAGTACCTCCAACACGAGCTGATTTTTTTTCAAAATCTATTATTTTTAGTACCTTTTTAACCTCATTTAGATGTTTGTTCAATCTGAATTTTTTCATTTTCTAACATTGTTTGACTTGGGCAAACTCTACCCGTTTTGGGCTGAGTAACTCTAGGGGTGGGAATGGACCCGAAACTGACCCAGGACCCAACCAGGGTCCGATTATGGGTCAAAAAATTGACACCGCGGGTCTTGTGCAAGTCCAAATCTTGGACCCAAACACTGTTCGGGGTCTGGGTATGGGTCCATGTATTTAAATAATATTTAAATAAATATAATTATATATATTTTATTATAATATTTAAATAATAAATGTATATGTTTAATATAATACTTAAAAAAAAACAATACAAAATGCTTATAGGTAAATTTCTACAATACTTCACCTACGGTTGTATCACTATTCAAAGTTTATCACATGGACGCAGATGTCTGATAGTGTTTGAATTTTAATCTTTTTTCTACAAATCATTAATGATTTGAAATTTTGTAAGTATGTATGCCTTAGTGAGATGCACATGAATAAAATATAAAACAAATAATTTGAGTGACAAAAAATACACAAAATATCCTTATAAAAGTTTTAAAAGTAATTTTATCATTTTATTTTATGACTATTATTTTTTAATATTTTATTTTGATGCGACTTGATCATATATACACACCTCAAATTTAGATAAACTTGATTAGTAAAATAATTATAAAAATTTAAATACCACTTGATAATATTTAAATATATATATATACATTTTTTGGATGGGTCCAAATTGTCACCCCTAAATACCTCGCACTCGGCCTAATTGACTCGCTCGGCGAGCAACTAAATCCGGTCCCATGGTTTTATTCGTTGCATATAGAGGAAATGTATAATACTATTTTTGGTAATGGGAATTTAATAGTTGGCCTCGAAGGTAAAAGCTCTTATGTCTCTCTCTCCCTGCTCTCTTCTTAATTCCCCAACGAACTCTCTCATTTAAAAAGTCGTGCTCCCTCTGGTTTATTATGGGTAATCTTTTTTAATTCTCTCTTCTTTTCCATTTGGAATTCTAAAGAAGATCATGGTCATAACGGTAAAAGTTTCGAAAGGGGTAAATAACGTAATTTTCCACTTGTCACCCTTATGGGGTCAAGTCGGTCACCAAATAAAGCAAACCGAAAGCCTAATTTCGTGTATTTGCAAGGTTCCCAAAGGGGGATATTTTGGGAAATTTATCTTGTAAATTTTCCTTGGTGTTACCAAAAGCGGGGGACCTGCTCCGCTGCCCGCAATTTTCCATCACGGGTTTTTTTAACCCTCCTTTGCCTGGAGACCATGTAAGACGCAGCCTGCAAATTAAAAAGTTGTAAACTCCCCCTACCCTACTTTCTCTCTTTCTTCTCTCTTTTTTCTTTTCTCTCTTTTTTTTCACCTTATTTCATGTATGTTGCCCTTATTCTCTCTTCTCTTCTCTTCTCTCTTTCTTTCTCTCTCATTACATGTACATGTATGTCCCCATTCTCTCTCTTTCCATTCTCTCTCCTTTTTCACTCATTTCATGTATGTTCCCCCACCTTCTCTCTTTCTTCTCTCATTACATGTACATGTATGTCCCCTCGCTCTCTCTAAAAGTGACTTGCTCTCTCTTTATTACATCTCTTATAAAAGTTTGCTTCTTGTACTCATTTTAAAGGCAAGCCCCCCCTCCTCTCTCTCAAGGTGCGTGTCTTTCATCTCTCTATTGCAAAAGGTCGTTTCTCTCTCTAGGTCTCACGCCGACACGTGTGTAGTTGGCCCCTCTTTGAATAGTTAGTTCACTCCTAAAGGACTAGTACACTCTCTCTCGGCTCGCATGCCTACACGTGCCCGGTTGGGAGAGCATCTACGAGAAAATGAATATTAGGATGATGATAAATAATAATATATAAATGATGGGTCAGTGATAATGCAGTGGGGGCAGTAACAAAATTAAATGCGGGTAGTTTGTAGAGAGAGAAAGGGAAGAGAGAGAGGGACGAATCGTGAGAGGGTTGGGGGTTAGGGGCGGTTTGTTGTGGGCCGGGGCTCAGAGGGGTTCAGAGAAGGGAAGAGGGGAGGCAGAGAGAGCAGAGAGAGATCCAAGTTGCAGGGGAATTTCAGAATGCGCCAACCCCCTCCCCCCGCTCTCTACTGTAGGAAAAGGGCCAGAAGAAACTGAGGTAGTCAGGCATAGAGAAAAGAGGTGAGAGAAAGGAAGATTGGGTGGGGACTTGGGAACCTAACTGAGATTGATTAGAAGAACCCAACCCCACCTTGGGAGGAGAGAGAAAAAAAGGGTTCAGACTCATAGAGATGGGAGAAAAGGGAGAGAAAATCGAGTGAGGGGAGGGAAAAAAGAAGAGAGAAAGTAAGGTTTTGGTGGGTGCCCCATCTTTAGATTTCTAAGACTTGGGTTGCGAAAAAAAGAGGAGAGGGAAAGTGAGATTGGGGAAGTTTGAAGGCTATGGATGATGGCAAAAAGAGGTGGAGACATGAAGATTACTGCACTGGTGACCTAACTCCGAAGATTTTGGTAGAATGGGGGAAGAGAGAGGAAGATTGGGTGGATACTAGAAAGCCAGCTTTGGGTGTAAAAAATTGAGTGAGAGAGAGAGTGATTCTGTGGGGAATGCGAATCACAGATTAGAAGGCGCAGGTGCCACTGCCAGCCCTAACTTAGATAGAGAAAGAAGCTTCAAATTAGAAAGAGAAACAATAGAGAGAGAGAGAGAGAGAGGGGAAAACTTTTGGAAAGGAGCGGTAGAGAGAGAGCGAGCTGAGAGAGAGGAACATTAGTGAGAGTGATTGGAGAGAGAGAGAGGAAGATCAGTGAGAGTGGAGCCCAACTTAGATCCCGGCGGTGGCGGCACCGAGGAGGCCTGGTGAGGGGGTGCCGGACTGGGGCGCCGGTAGCGGCCCCCCCTTTGATCTGCGCTCTGCCGCTGCTGGTGAACTCTGCCTTGGCTTCAATGGCGGCTCGGCTTCTGCCCCCTCTGCTGCTGGTAGCAGCTGGTTGCGCCCCCTCAACTACGGTGGCATCCCCCTTCTCCAGGACATTCCCATGGTTCTCCTCAACTCCCCCTTCCATGACCCCACTTCTGCCCCCTCCGGCCCTGCTGGTGGGCCCCCGTATTCCCATCACCACCAGCCCGGTGCTGCCCTCGGCATGATCCCTCTCCTCACTGCCGGCCCGCACCATCAGCTGGTGCCTGAACACTCTCACTCCCAGGGACCGGAACGGCGTGGAGGAGAGAGCTCCGGGAGCACGGTGGGAGGAACGACCACATGCCAGGATTGCGGCAATCAGGCTAAGAAGGATTGTTTGCACAGGAGGTGCAGGACTTGTTGCAAGAGCCGGGGGTATGATTGCGCCACCCACGTGAAGAGCACATGGGTGCCGGCAGCTAGGAGAAGAGAAAGGCACATGGCTGCGGCGGTGACCGGTGAGGGGGCTGCAGGAGTGGGCGGGGGAAAGAAGCCACGGCTGGCGGCCTCCTCGCAGGGGACGTCGCACACATCTACGTCCGCAAACACGCCGCCAAGGAGCTTCGATACTGGGTCCAGCCACCAAGGTTTCACCCATTCGGAGAAATTCTCTTCCTCTCTCCTTCCTTCTTCCCTGCACTTGTTTTTTTTTCTTTTAATGTCTGATTTTTGTGGGCTTTTGCTGTCCATTACCATAGAATTTTCGACCTCTATCGCTTCAAGACCGGGTTTTTCATGGCGAATAACGCTTCTAATGATGTGATTCCATATGATAATCCCTCTAAACGCTGTGATTTTTGGATAGGCACACAGTCGACTGCCATATCTCTCTCCTGAATATGGTGGTGCATTTCTCTTTGAATATCCCAAACTGCACCTCTTTCTCTCTCTTCCCTATTCCCATTTTTGTCCTTATCGGAGGTACAACTACGATCTGATTGTTACAGAAGCTACTCTTCGCTTCTTTTGTATCGAAGAGACAAAATGTAGCATTTTTCTTTGACGATTCCAATGCCTCTTTCTCTCTCTAATGCCTGCATTTTTTTTTGACGACTCCAATTTCTCTCTCTCTCTCTCTCTCTTATTAGTCAGCTTAATTCTCTCTCTCTCTCTTTCTTACTCCCTTTGGGTCGCTTACATGCATTGTTTATGGCATCAAGCTTCCGTTTTTCATGGCTTTAGCACCTCAGTCACCCCCCCATGTAAAGCGCTGTAGTCTCACCAATCATAATTCCACCTATGCGGTACCACACGAAAAGTCCCCATTTCCTCGCTCACAAAAACTCTCAAACAGTATCATCTCTCTCTTTCTCTCCATACATATTTCTTTCTCTCTCTACATCTCTATATCTTGTTAAACTGAGTCTCTCTATCTCGGTCTCTCTCTTTGTCTTTCTAATGCACCTTACCTCCTGGATTAGTGAAGCTCGTGAAACTAATCTTCCCCACGTAACCTTCTCACAAAACCCTAATCCAACCCGTTAATGTCTCTCTTCTCGCAGATGTTAATTACAGTACCGGCAGTGGATCCCTGCCTAGTCGTGTGCGAGCTCCGGCCGTGTTCAAGTGTGTGCGTGTGTCGTCCATTGAGGATGATGGAGAAGATGAGTATGCATACCAGGCGGTCGTCAAGATTGGCGGTCGCATCTTCAAGGGCGTCCTATACGACCACGGTGCGGCCACCGCTGCCTCCTCCTCATCCCGAGAAAACCTCCCCAATCTCTCTGATCTCCACTTGGGTGGCAGCTCCACGCCTGTGATGGATGCCGCGGCTTTGCTCGAAGGTACGAGTTATGGAAACCCACCCATTAACTGAGCACTGAGGTTCTGGTTTTAGGGATTTTTAGAGTTTCCTCTATGACTTTAGAGGTGGGTTTGCTCAGGAATTGTGTACTTGATTCATGTGGTTGGGTCATGAACTAACCATTTACTCTTGATTATTGTATGAGAGTAGACGTCATGTCACCTATCCTAAGTTTTACTTATTTCCCTTTTACTGGTTTTCTCTCTCTTTAACCCGGCCTCATCCCTCTCTCTAGAGTTTAGTGCTGAATAATACATCTTTGCTGTTAACTTTTACTCTTCTTCGTTTTCTCCTCTCTCTCTCTCTCTCTCTCTCTCTCTCTCTCTCTCTC